GTCTCCAGTCTGGGCACAGTGGCTCATGCCAACACTTTGGGAAGCCACAGTGGGTGGATCATGAGGTCAGGAGATCCAGACCATCCTGGTTAACACAGTGAAACCCCATCTATACTAAAAATAGAAAAAATTAGACAGGCATGGTGGCATGCTCCTGTAGTCCCAGCTACTCGGGAGGCTGAGGCAGGAGAATCACGTGAATCCAGGAGGCAGAGGTTGCAGAGAGCCAAGATCGTGCCACTGCACTCCAGCCTGGGCGGCAGAGCAAGACTCCATCTCAAAAAGGAAAAAAAAAGAAAGAAAGAAATTAGTCCCCTTATAAAACTGTCTCCAGTCCAGGCAAGATGGCTCATGCCTGTAATCCCAACACTCTGGGAGGTCAAAATGGGCAGATCACTTGAGGTTAAGAGTTGGAGACAAGCCCGGCCAACATGGTGAAACACTGTTTCTATTGAAAGTATAAAAATTAGCTAGAGGCTGGACGCAGTGGCTCATGTCGGTAATCCCAGCCTTTTGGAAGGCTGAGCTAGGCGGATTGCCTGAGTTTAGGAGTTGCAGACCAGCCTGGGCAACATGATGAAACCTTGTCTCTACTAAAATATGAAAAATTAGCTGGGTGCAGTGGCGTGGGCCTATAGTCCCACCTACTCAGCAACCAGCTTTCTTGGCTCATTACAACCTCTGCCTCCCAGGTTCAAGCAATTCTCCTGTCTCAGCCTCCTAAGCAGCTGAGACTATAGGCACCTGCTACCATGTCCAGCTAATTTTTGTATTTTAGTAGAGATGGGGTTTCACCATATTGGTCAGGCTGGTCTGGAACTCCAGACCTCAGGTGATCCGCCCATCTCAGTCTCCCAAAGTACTGGGATTACAGGCACGATCCACCAAGCCCTGCCAAATCTCTGTTGCTTATAAGCCACGCTGTCTATGGTATTCTGATGTAGCAGCCTGAAGGGTCTAAGACAGCAAAAAAGCCTTCTCACAGAGGTTAACAACAGAGATAAAGAGGCAGACAAGCAAATTAACAAAACAGAGTTTGTGGCCTGTGCCAAGAACAGGGAAGGTGAGTTTACTTGAGACCATTTCATCAACATGTCCACAGCAGGGAAGACACAGTAACAGGAAGACTCCCTATCTCTACTCCCCTCACCCCACAAACATCTGCCCACCAACTACCACCACCCTGCAGTCTGTGTGTGCCCTGCCTGGGCGTTGGCAATTGATGGACATGAGTCAGACTGAGTCTGTGACCTTGAGGACTAGAAGGGCAGCAGAAGCGCTAGATAGGGACACAAGAAATAACAGTACAAGTCATAAATGCCCTAATGCCAATTCCCTGGACACTACAGAAGCCTGGAGGAGGAGCCTCAATGTTTTTTTTTTTTTTTTTTTTTTTTTGAGATGGAGCCTCACTCTATTGTCCAGGCTGGAGTAGAGCAGTGTGATCTCTGCTCACCACACCCTCTGCCTCCTGAGTTCAAGCAATTATCCTGCCTCAGCCTACCTAGTAGCCTGGGATTCCAGACACATGCTGCCACGCCTGCCTAATTTTAGTATTTTTAGGAGAGATAGGGTTTTACCATGTTGGCTGGGCTGGTCTTGAACTCCTGACCTCAGGTGATCCATGTGCCTCAGCCTCCCAAAGTGCTGGGATTGCAGCCATGAGCCCCTGTGCTCAGCCTTGAATTTAAACTGAATCCAAGAATGCTTCCTGGAATAGGTGATGGATGCCAAAAAGAGTCCCTGGAAGGCACATGTCTTTAAAAGAGAGGCCAGGCTGTGCGGGGTGGCTCATGACTGTAATCCCAGCACTTTGGGAGGCCAAGGTGGGTGGATCACTTGAGGTCAGGAGTTTGAGAGCAGTCCCGCTAACATAGTGAAACCTCACCTCTACTAAAATACAAAAATTGGCCAGGCATGGTCATGTATGCCTGTAATCCCAGCTACTTGGGAAACTGAGACAGGAGAATCTCTTGAATCTGGGAGGTGGAGGGTGCAGTGAGCTGAGATAGCATCACTGCACCCCAGCCTGGGCAATAGAGTGAGTCCCAGTCTGAAAAAAAAAAAAAAAAGCAGACCATGAGCGGTGGCTCACGCCTATAATCCCAGCACTTTGGGAGGCCGAGGTGGGCAGATCATGAGGTCAGGAGATTGAGACCATCGTGGCCAACATGGTGAAACCCCATCTCAACTAAAATACGAAAAGTTAGCCACATCTGGTGGTGCGTGCCTGTAGTCCCAGCTGCTCGGGAGGCTGAGGCAGATGAATCTCTTGAACCTGGGAGGTGGAGGTTGGGTGAGCGGAGATCAGGCCAGGAGATTATGCCACTGCACTCCAGCCTGGCAACAGAGCAAGGCTCCGTCTCAAAAACTAAACTAAACTAAATTAAAAACAACAGGTTGAGGAAGCCATCGGAGCATCTTGTCAGCCCGCAGAGACCGCCCCTACCTCTCCCCTCTTCCACTACCTGTGTCGGCTTCCTCTGAGAAACCTGCTGACACTGTAGCTGGGGTCAGGCCCTCTGGCTCACCACATCCTCACTGGGCTTGGTACCTGGTACCTTCCCTCAAACCAGTCTTTTCTTTTCTTTTCTTTTTTTATTTTTAGACAGAGTTTCACTCTTGTTGCCCAGGTGGAGAGCAATGGCACGATCTCGGCTCACGGCAACCTCTACCTGCCAGGTTCAAGAAATTCTCCTGCCTCAGCTTCCTGATTAGCTGGGACTACAGGCATGTGCCACTACCCCCAGCTAATTTTTGTATTTTTAGCAGAAACTGAGTTTCTCCATGTTGTCAGGCTGGTCTCGAACTCCCCACCTCAGGTGATCCACCCACCTCAGCCTCCGAAAGTGCGGGGATTACAAGTGTGAGCTACCGTGCCTGGCCCCTCAAAACACTTTTCCTCCCAGCATCCCCACCCACACCCCGTCATCAGGCCTGACCCTGACTTCACCCTTCCCTGGTCTCCAAACAGGGCCAGTCAATCCACAAGCCCCATCTATCCTGCCTCTCCTCATGTCATTCACATCACTGACCATGCTACTGCAGATTACTAGAAAAGTGGCCTGGGCCACAGCGTCCTACTCAGTGGAGCCCACAGCTGATTGGAGATTTGACCTGGGGCCTAACCAGCATGCACATCACTGATTCTCTCTCTCTCTCTCTCTCTCTCTCTCTCTCTCTCTTTAAGACAGAGTCTCACTTCATCTCCAGGCGCCAGGCTGGAGTGCAGTGGCGAAATCTCATCTCACTGCAACCTCTGCCTCCTGGGTTCAAGCAATTCTCCAGCCTCAGCCTCCTGAGTAGCTGGGACTCCAGGCGCACACCAACACGCCCAGCTGATTTTTGTATTTTTAGTAGAGACAGGGTTTCACCACGTTGGCCAGGATGGTCTCCATCTCTTGACCTCCTGATCCGCCCGCCTCAGCCTCCGAAAGTGTTGGGATTACAGGCCCGGTCTTTTTTTTCTTTTTTTTAGATGGAGTTTTGCTCTTGTCACCCAGGCTGGAGTGCAGTGACGGCAATCTCAGCTCACTGAAACTTCCGCTTCCTGGTTCAAGCGATTCTCCTGCCTCAGCCTCCCAAGCAGCTAGGATTACAGGTATGCACCAGTATTCCCAGCTAATTTTTTATGTTTTTAGTAGACACAAGGTGTCACCATAGTGGCAAGGCTAGTCTCAAACTGCTGACTTCAGGTGATCCACCTGCCTCGGCCTCCCAAAGTGTTGTTTACAGGCATGGGCCTAGCCTTTCTTTTTTTTTTAATTCTTTTGAGACAGGGTATCACTCTGTTACCCAGGCTGGAGTGTAGTGGCACAATCATGACCCTAGCTCACTGCAGTCTCAACTTCCTAGGCTCAAGGGATCCTCCTGCCTCAGCCCCATACCCACCAAGTAGCTGGGACTACAAGTACATGCCACTACTCCTGGAAAATTTTTGTTATTTTTTGCAGAAATGGGGTTTCATGGCCAGGTGCAGTGGTTCAGGCCTGTAATCCCAGCATTTTGGGAGGGTGATGTGGGTGGATCACCTGAGGTCAGGAGTTTTGAGACTGAAAATACAAAAATTAGCCAGGCGTGGTGGCAGGCACCTGTAATCCCAGCTACTCAGGAGGCCGAGGCTGAGGAATCGCTTGAACCTGGGGGGCAGAGGTTGCAGTGAGCTGAGATTGCACCATTGCACTCCAGCCTGGAGGGCAAGAGTGAGACTGTTTCTTAAAAAAAAAAAAATATATATATATATATATATGACCAGGCGCAGTGGCTCATGCTTGTAATCCTAGCACTTTGGGAGGCTGAGGCGGACAGATCACGAGGTCGGGAGCTTGAGACCAGACTAGCCAATAGGGTGAAACCCTGTCTCTATTAAAGGATAAAAATTAACTGGGCGTGGTGTCGCACACCTGTTGTCCCAGTTACCCAGGGGGCTGAGGCAGGAGAATCGCTTGAGCCCAGGAGGCGGAGGTTGCGGTGAGCCGAGATCGCGCCAATGCACTCCAGCCTGGGTGACAGGCAGAGACTCCGTCTCAAAAAAGAAAGAAAGAAAGAAAGAAAAAGACAAGAAAAGAAAAATAAACAGGGTTTCACCATGGCAAGCCAAACTCTAAGGTTCAGGAAATCTTCCCACCTCAGGCCCCCACACTGCCCCAGGGAGCCCCGCCAGCCCGGCAGCGCCTCAGCGGCAGGCGCCCCCTGCACGCGGTGCCGGCGAGCGTGGCCAGGGCGTTTTCCCGCCTCGCGCGTCTCCTCAGCCCGCAGCGCTGCGCATGCGCTGCTGCCTAACGGCTCTGCTCCTTGACAGGACTGACTGTCCAAGGCCTTGGCCACATCGCGATTTTAACTGGTGTTGGGTTTGGTGCGGGGACTGGAGAAGGGCGAGGGCGAGCGGCTGGGGCTGGGGAAGGGCGAGGGCGAGCGGCTGGGGCTGGGGAAGGGCGGGCGGCTGGGGCTGGGGAAGGGCGAGCGGGAGGCCGGGCTCTCACCAGCGGGCGGCCGCAGCCATGGAGTGGCTCTCGGCAGCCGCTGTCCAGGACGTGTTGGACCCGCCGCGTCCGAGCCCCTTCAGTCAGCTGGTCTACACCAGCAACGACTCTTATGTGATCCACTATGGGGATCTCAGGAAGATCCACAAAGCTGCCTGGAAGGGCCAAGACTGCAAGCTGCAGAAGATGATGAATAAGAAGATGAAGAAGAAGAAGACAATGGACCTGAACATAAGAGACGTGAAGAAGAGGTACCAGGCCCTGCCCGAGCCCGCGCTGCAGGAGGAGGTGGCGGCTGTGGGAGGATCGCCCCTTCAGAGTGCGGGGCTGGGGGCCTGGGCACCAGGGGAGCAGCTGGAGGAGTGGGGGGCGGCGGTCCTGGGCCCTGGGGTCTGGGCCTTCGTCCTGGGCAGGGGTCCCCCAGGCCGGGGGTGAGGGCGCCCTGCAGGGCGGAGGGCCCAGGCCACCTTGAAATCAGCCCCAAACTTTAGCTGCTTTCCCTTCACTCCCACTTCCCATCACAGAGCTCTGTCTAGAGAATTTTTTTTCATTCAGTTGTCACTTTGTTGCAAGATGGTAGAATTAACTACAAATTTAAACTATAACCTTGGTAATCTTTAGTCGGGCAGCAAGTTTTTATAAAGGCAAAGTACTTATACAGAAGTGATCATGGAACAACTCAAATGCAGAGTAAGAAGGATCAGAAATATCTGACTGACCAATGGAGATTTCGCTCTCTCACTGTTTAAAACAAACTTGTCATTTTTAGAAGAGGTAAATCGTAACTTCAGTAGACACCAATAAGAAAGATTTTGTGAAATAGACTAGTTTCATTTACTCAGTCAACTGTTTCTAGCTGTCTCAATTGGAATACATACATTTATATAACTGGCTGTGCTTGAGCCTTTTTTGCCAGCAGCTTTAGGTCAGTAATGCACTTGGCAATTGTCTCCTTTTTCTCCTGTGCAGAGATGCTCTGCACCACGTGCTTCTCCACGCAATTTATCATGTGTTCTTATTCCTTTCGATGCATCATGTTCTGCACAGATAGCCAAGGCAATTTTTTACATCCTTATATACTCTATGCAATTGTTCCGGGTAAGTAACCTCCAAAGCTATAGCAATGTTATTAGTCTGCACATCAAAAAGGTAATGGCACTTCTGAACCTCTGAACCAGTGCCTGCTGTGCCTTCTCCAAATCAACTGCATCCTGGATTTTTTTTTTTTTTTTAGAATATTTCCTTTATTTTATTTTAATGTACTTTAAACTCTGGGGTACATGCGCTCATCCTGCAGGATTGTTGCATAGGTACACACATGCCATGGTGGTTTGCTGTCTCAGTCACCCAGTTGCCTACATCAGGCATTTCTTCTGGTGTTATCCCTCCCCAACCATCCCACCCCCACTGTCCCCCCCCTCCCCTGGCCCTCACCTCCTAATCTACCCCAGTGTGAGATGTTCTCCTTCCTGTGCTCACATGTTCTCATTGTTCATCACTTGCCTATGAGTGAAAATGTGGTGTTTGGTTTTCTATTCTTGTGTAGGTTTGCTGTGAATGATGGTTTCCAGATTCATCCATGTCCCTACAAAGGACATGAACTCATCGACTTTTATGGCTGCACTGTATTCCATAGTGTGTATGTGCCACTTTTTGCTTGTCTAGTCTATCATTAATGAGCATTTGGGTTGGTTCCAGGTCTTTGCTATTGTAAACAGCGCCACAAGGAACATACATGTACATGTGTCTTTAAAATAGAATGATTTATAGTCCTTTGGGTATATAACCAGTAATGGGATTGCTGGGTCAAATGGAATTTCTATTGCTAGATCCTTGAGGAATCGCCACACTCTCTTCCATAATGGTTGAACTAATTTACACTCCCACCAACAGTGTAAAAGTGTTCCTTTTTCTCCACATTCTCTCTAGCGTCTGTTGTCTCCAGATTTTTTAATGATCGCCATTCTAACTGGCATGAGATGGTATCTCAATGTGGTTTTGATTTGCATTTCTCTAGTAACCAGTGATGATGAACATTTTTTCATGTGTTTGTCGGCCGCATAAATGTATTCTTTTGAAAAGTGTCTGTTCATCAGACACTTTACAAAAGAAGATATACATGAGGCCAACAAACATATGAAAAAATGCTCATCATCACTGGTCATCAGAGAAATGCAAATCAAAACTACATTGAGATACCATCTCACGCCAGTTAGAATGGCAATCATTAAAAAATCTAGAGACAACAGATGCTGGAGAGAATGTGGAGAAATAGGAACACTTTTACACTGTTGGTGGGAGTGTAAATTAGTTCAACCATTTGTGGAAGACAGTGTGGCGATTCCTCAAGGACCTAGAAATAGAAATTCCATTTGACCCAGCAATCCCATTACTGGGTATGTATCCGAAGGATTACAGATCGTTCTACTATAAGGACACATGCACACGAATGTTCATTGCAGCACTGTTTACAATAGCAAAGACCTGGAACCAACCCAAATGCCCGGAACCAACCCAAATGCCCATCGACGATAGACTGGATAGGGAAAATGTGACACATATACACCATGGAATATTATGCAGCCATCAAAAACGATGAGTTTGAGTCCTTTGTAGGGACATGGATGA